GCTGGTCCCTCTCCTCAGAGAGAGACGTCACCCTGCACAGCAGCTTCTCCTTCTCCTCAGAGGAGCTCTGAAAGCTGGCTTCCTTGTAACAGAGCTGACTGTCTCGCTCTGTTTCAGTGCTTTCCAGTTTCTCTGTTAAAGTTTTCACCTGTGACAAAGGCAGCAGTCACAATGCTCATTCAAGAGTCTCTTCAACTTTGACTCAAAACTAATCCAAATGTCCAATTACAACTGTTATTATATAATCAACATACAAGCAGGTGTACATAATATGCTGTTTTGTAGAGGTTATCCCTCACTGACCTCACACTGCAGGGTCTCCATCCTGTCCTCCAGTTCTGCTCTGAGCTGCTGGTTCTCCTGCCTCAGTTCCTGCAGTGTCTCCTGCAGCTGGTCCCTCTCCTCACAGAGCGATGTCACCCTGCACAGCAGCTTCGCGTTCTCCTCCGAGGAGCTTGGAAAGCTGGTTTCAGAATTCTCTACTTGCTCTGTTAGAGACTTTATCTGTTGAATTGACAACATATAGACTACTAGTAAGTACACCAATGTATTTTCAACCAACAACGAAAGATTTAATGGTCCCATCAACAAACTCCTTGGCAAAGCACAAGTTAATCAAGTCATTAGTTTGTTCATCTCTCAGTTCTCTGACTTCACTACACTCCCTTTGGCTCTCAGCTGAGTCCATTGGTCCCCACGGATGAAGTTAATCTTTAGACATGGCTCAAAAATATATAGCTTCATTTTGAATAAAAGGAAATTAGTTGATTATATTAATAAGAGAGGGGGACAAGGAAAAAGAATGTTTAATGAATATGAGCAAAACCTACATTATTTAAAAAAACAGAATAGCATACAGGAACAAACAATATTAATTTTAACTTTTTTGTGGGGGTGGGAGGAATAACCACTGCAAGGTATCATTATTTAAAAGGTTCAGTGCGCAGAATTTATCGACATCTAGTGATGAAGTTGCATGTTGCAGCTGAATACCCCTCACATCACCTTCCACAAAAATGAAGGAGAACCTGTAGTAGACTTCAGTTGTCATAAAAACTCAAAAGATGTTTGTTTGTCCAGTTTGGACTACTGTAAAAAAACATGGCGGCCTCCATAGAGAGAACCTGCTCCTGATATAAACCTGGAGCACCTCATGATCAGATGCCGACCTTTTTATCTCCAGGGGGAGTTTACATCGGTCGTTTTAACAGCTGTGTACATTCTGCCACATGCCGACACTAATCAGGACCTGTACGAGATCGAGCGGACAGAGATCGAGTGGACAGAGATCTCACAGCCGGAGGCTGCATTTATTGTGGCTGGCAATTTCAACAACGCCAAGCTGAGGAAAGTCCTGCTAAGATACCATCAACACATCAGCTGTTCTACGCATGGTGAGAACACGCTCGACCATGTTTACACTCCCTTCCATAAGGCCCTCCCTCACCCCCCATTTGGCAAATCAGATCAAGTCTCAGTTCTGCTGCTGCCTTCCTATAGGCAGAAATTCAAACATGACAGACTCAGCTCTACAGGACTGCTTCAGCACTACGGAGTGGTGTGTGTTCCAGGATAACAACATCAACACATACACACGGCAAAAAAACATCACAGACTAGAAAAGGAAGACCAGCGGTGCTGAGGTTATGTCTGCATCTCTCCCAGATGAACTGAATGACTTTGACACTCGCTTTGAGAGCAACTCCCCGGCTGTGGAGGTACAAGAGGCCCAGGAGGACCACTGTCCACCTGTAATATCCAGGGCAGATGTGTGGATGGCCAGACAGCGGCTCTTCTTCCTCCGTAGGCTCCGAAGGCTCAACATGGACCCCAGGATTCTCTGCAACTTTTACTGGTGCACCATAGAGAGTATCCTGACTGGCTGCATCACTGCCTGGTATGGAGGCTGCACCGCCCTAAACCGCAAGGTTCTACAGAGGGAGGTGAAGTCTGCTCAGCGCATTACCAGGAAGGAGCTGCCATCCATGGAGGACCTCTACACCGAGTGGTGTAGGAAGAATAGCAACCGGATCATTAAAGACCCAAACCACAAACTGTTCTGTCTGCTGCCATCTGGCCGCCGTTAACGCAGCATCCGGGCCCGCACCACCAGACTCAGGGACATCCCCCAGGCCATAAGACTTTTAAACTCCTCCCATCAGTCATAATTAATCTCTCTGCACCTTACAATATTTGCACTACTTTTGTATTTTTTAATTTTTATATTCCATTTCATTTTTTTAATTTTACATTTTATTTTCATATTCAGAGCATGTCTAAAGGTGGCCTGGGACTCAAGCATTTCATTGCCAGCAACTGCTAAATGTAATTATTGTGCACATGACAATAAAACCCTTGGACCTTCTTGGGTAAAGAAAACAACATTCTGTAAAATTTTGATGAAACACACAAATGAAAACATCACTAGGGTTATTTTATATTCACTTTCAGCCAATAGATCAATTTCAATGTTAAGACATTCCTGAAAACAAGACTGGCTGACAAACAATCACATATACAGTACATCAGGAAATTCTTACTTGTTTTTGTTGCGCTTCCAGCTGTGCACTCATCTCAATGAGAGCTCCATCCACTTCTGATTTCTGTAATGTCTCCAAATGACTGAGGAGCTCCTTCTGTTCTCTGTTCTTCTCCAGAGCTGTTCTCAACTCCTCCTGATTTTCAATCATCTGTTTGATAAAGAAATATTGTCTTTGGGCCTCTAACATGCAGAGGGGAAAACAAATAGCASAAGACCACGACAACTAAAACAAGTCAATGCATTTTCAAATTTGGACTGGCAAAGCAGTCACAAGATCACTGACCATCTCCACATTTTCCTGCAGGTCCRTCTTGAGCTGGTCTCTCTCTGCAGTCACAGACGTTAGTGTAGAGAGCAGCTGGTCCATCTCTTCTGCAGAGTTCGGAGTTTCAGCTTTCCGCTCAGACAGGAGAGCTTCTTTCTCAGCTTGCACACATTGAAGCACTTGARTCTGCTGCTTCAGCTAGAAAAAAACAAGTTGTGTTTATGGTATATAAAACTTCACTGATTTCATGGTCACAGTTTCATCACAGGATCAATAATCAGAGAAAGGGAGAGAAAACACCATGAAGCAAAAGAGAAATGTAAAGATTTAGAGATCTAAGCATGAGATACAGTCAAAAAACATAATTCATAAAACTTTAAAATCAGTGTAACCAAAGATGGTTTCAGAGAAAGTACCATCAGTGTCATACTTGTTCTTGAAGTTCTTTGCTGATTTCCTCCTGTGCGGTTCTGGAAACTTCACTGTCCRCAAGCTTCTTCTCCAAATGCTTTATCAGCTGCTGCATCTCATTCACTTTTTCTACTAGTAATGCTCTTTGCTGGTCACTCTCCTCCAACTGAAATAAAAAATATATCATCAACCGCGAACTGCCATAACTGGTTTCCAGTAAAGCTATCCCTCACAAATTTCACAATGAAGTGCCTCCAGCTTGTCCCCCAGCTCTGCTCCGAGCTGCTGTWTTTCCTGTCTCAGTTTCTGCAGTGTCTCCTGCAGCTGATCCCTCTCCTCACAGACAGAGGAAAGGGAGAAGCTGCTGTGCAGGGTGATGTYTGAGGAGCTTGGAAAGCTGGTCTTTCTCTCAAACAACAAGGCCTCCCTTCCTGCTCKAGCATTCTCCACTTGCTCWGTAAGAGTCTTTATCTGTTTAAAAGGTAGCATATCAACTACCATTARGTAYAACAATAAGGATTTTTCAACCAACGACCAAAGCTTTAATGGTCCCATCAACAAACTCCACAAAAAGGGACAAGTTAWTCAAGTCATTAGTTTCTCCATCTCTCAATTCTCTGACTTCACTACACTTCCTGTGGCTCTCAGCTAARTCCATTGGTCCCCACTGATGAAGTTAATCTTTAGACATGGCTCAAAAATATAAAGCTTCATTTTGATAAAAGGAAACTAGTTAATAATATTAATGAGGCAGGGGTACAAGGAAAAAGAAAATGCATTGATGATGAGCAAAACTTACATCATAAAGAAAAAAACATAATAATCTAAAGGAACTAAAAATAATAATTTTCCCCCCATTTCTTTTCTACTTTTTTGGGGGGATGGGGTATGAGGAATAACCACTGCAATG